CTGAGAATGTCAGAGAGGAAGGCGACAAGGATTCTCAGTCTTCGGGATGAAGAAGAAGTCCATGAATGTCTCACCTTCGTCGCGGAGACAAGGGAGCTCGATACAAGATCGAGGGGGCAGAGCCAAAATGGGGACTCGGAGTCCAAACCACGCGCGGAGCATGCACATCTTGGCGTCTGTGGATTAGGGGTGACGAAGAGCGTCGGAGTAAGGTAGTCGCGTACCTCGGGAGATTAGACTATTGTAAACTTGTTTAAACCCGATTCTTATGCAGAGTTCAATTGCATGAAATATCCCCGTGTTGTCTTCTCTGACTCTTCCCCTCTGCGATTCTTAAAATTTTCAGCGCTTCATACTCTGAAAGGCCATCAGAGGCAGCTCGCTCGCCGGATGTCATCAACCGCGAAAGTTACCTATGCTTCCCATGAAGAGGAGACCAAGTGGAACTCGGTCTGCCCGATTTCTTACCTTTATCTTAGCCAGTTTTGATGTTGGCTCAAAGCTCAGTGAGACCATGTCCCGATTTCATAATATGTTCAAGGAGGAATGTACGTCTACTATCTTTCATTCGAATTTGAATTAATTTCGTGCTATTCTTTGTGATTTCAGACAAAACGATATATGCAGTTCGTTATCATATAGGCTTGAGCCAGAGATTATCTCCTCTGACGCTTGCAATACAGTCTGCTGACGGTTCATTCACTAAACGCGGACTATCACTTTCACGATACCTAGACACCGTGGTTTCATTCAACTCTCGTGAGTTTTTATAGTAAATGTTTTAATCTCATTTCAGTGTCATGTTGGCGATACACAGACCTCCAAGCACACCACACGATCGAGGAAAGATACGTTTTTCCGGTTCTCGCGCGAAAAATTCCAAAGTTTGGGAAGAATACGTCCGACGGTCATGTTGGCTCTCACAAAGCAATTCATAACGGTTTGTGTACCTCACAGGGACATGGATCGCTTTGATGACTGAAGTCTATGCAGGTCTTGAAAGCCTGATGCAGAAGGTAGCTCAATGGCGCAAAGACCCCACCGCATATTCACCTACAGAGATGAGGGCCGCTTTGGATAATCTCGCAGAAGTCCTGTTTGAGCACCTAGACGAAGAGGTACGCGCATCGGATGAATTTCAGACACAAGTCCTTGACCCCTGTCACAATGTAGGTTGAGGACCTCCGAGGTGATAATCTAAAACCTCACTTCAAGTTGGAGGAGATCGAAAAATTTACTTGGTGAACTCCACGGCGCGCGTACACAGATAAATGTACAGGGTTTTTATTGCACACCATGAACTCCTCTAAAGGCACTGCCAGGACTCGAACCTGGGTTTCGAGAAATCTATGCCACCAGATATTATCAGAATCTCGCGTGATAACCTCTACACTACAGCGCCGTAAAATGACAAACACACAGCGCCAAAATTGGCAAGTGTAATTGCATGTCGAAGTTCCATGATACCTTACATATACTCAAAAAATCCTCAACACCATTATTAGCGTGGGCGTGATCTCGCCCCAAGTATACACGTTGTATACACGTATATTTACAAGCGCCAATCGATATCAGGGACAAACTTGAAAGCCTCCTGAATCCAAATGCCACTTCAACTCCATCACTGTGGGAGTCAGCTGGATTGATAAACAACCTAGTAATACAACCTGTTCATAGGTTGATGTTGACGAAGCTCAAGATAATGATCCGCCTTAGGTTGATACTATCCTTTTTCAGGTAATGCAAACACTTCATGTAATGCAAAACGTTAAACACAGCACATTCCCGTCCCCGTGGG